TGCTCGTTTGTTCATTTTCATTTGGGGAGTTCTGTCCACTAGATCGACTTTCAGTAGCAATATTTTAACCAGAATAGGGGTTTGTTTTGGGGCGCTTACCTTTCTGGGTGCCTGATCTGGTCGATAGCAGACATAGAATGCTTCCAACCACAATGGAAAATTTCTATGGGCCATTGCTCCTCGTGCCTCTCCAGGGGGCCAGGTTCTGGCTCGTGGTCCCAGTAGGCCTAGAACTCCATGTGCGTTGATTGATGCCAGGGTCTAATACATTCATATCAGCCCGTTTAACTCCAGTGAGCCGAAGGGGCTCCCCCAGAAAATACCACTGTATTCAGCCAAGAATATTTATTTATTTATTTACATATATACTGTACAAGAAGGTACATTGGAATTGCGAGGATACATAGCATAGTAATTACAATCTTGTAAAGCCACTAGTACGTGCAGCGTTTCGGGCAGGTCCTTAATCTAAGAAAATTTTAAGTAGGTAAATACTAGCAAAATTTTAAAAAGTGATAAAGTTACATAGCAAGAAAAAATAAAAAGATGAGAGAAAATTGTAGGTATATTAAAGCACATAGGTAGCTCAGATTGATTGCAATGACAGCTTGAATGGTAGTTTAACAAAAATTAGTAGGCACAATACAGCATATGGCTAGCACATAAAAGAAGACAGCAATGAACACAATGATAAAGTTGTTTGGATTAAGTACATAAAGATTGGGAGATTGGGTACAGTAACACTAGACAGAGCAAATTTAGAGCTCAGTGTAGGAAGACAGTGTACATTTGGAGAGCTTTGAGACGATCCCAAATTATTGGGATCGTCTCAAAGTTCTCCAAATGTACTCACTAGAAAGGAGATGAGAGAGATACCAAATAATATACACATGGAAAATACTGGAGGGACAGGTCCCAAATCTGCACAGTAAAATAACAACGTACTGGAGTGAACGACATGGAAGAAAATGCAGAATAGAACCAGTGAAGAGCACAGGTGCCATGGGCACAATCAGAGAACACTGTAGGAACATCAGTGGTCCACGGTTGTTCAACGTCCTACCAGTGAGCATCAGAAATATTACAGGAACAACCATGGACATCTTCAAGAGGAAACTAGATTGTTTCCTTCAAGGAGTGCCAGACCAACCGGGCTGTGGTGGGTATGTGGGCCTGCGGGCCGCTCCAAGCAACAGCCTGGTGGACCAAACTCTCACAAGTCAAGTCTGGCCTCGGGCCGGGCTTGGGGGAGTAGTAGAACTCCCAGAACCCCATCAACCAGGTATCAACCAGGAAACTACGAAGATGAAATTAGGTACTTTTTGTTTTTGTTTTTGAATGAGGCAAAAGTTTGACAGCTTTTCAATTCACTAGGGAGTGAGTTCCATAGACTAGGTCCCTTTATTTGCATAGAGCGTTTACACAGATTAAGTTTGATCCTGGGGATATCAAAGAGATATTTATTTCTGGTGTGGTGATAATGGGTCCTATTACATCTGGGGCATGTTGTCCTCTTAGGTGGAGGTTGTCCTCCTAGGTGCCTATATATATATATATTTTTTTTTTTTTTTTTTTTTTTTTTAGATATATACAAGAGTTGTTACATTCTTGTACAGCCACTAGTACGCGTAGCGTTTCGGGCAGGTCTCAGGAATACGATCCCCTGCCGCGAAGAATCGTTTTTTCATCCAAGTACACATTTTACTGTTGCGTTAACCCCTTAACTGCGTTGCCTCCAAATGTGACACCCCCGCAGTGCGCAGGAAATAAATTCTCTGGAAAAAATTCTTTTTTCTTTTTAAAGTGTCAAAAACCCTTCCCTCAGTATGGGTATGTAAAAAAAAAGTCGAAATTGTACTTACTTTGGCTGCTATGGGGTCCGGAAGTTGGGGCGTGACGTCATCATTCCCCGTGCGCCCGTGCCGTGAGCTCTCGGGGGCGGTGGGGCGCTCGGGGCGGGGCGCGCGAGTTGCCGCGAATATATTTTCGTTCATTTTTTGCGCACCTTTCCAAATACATTTTCATTGTTTTTATGTGCCAATCCAATGTATAATGAACACGTACACTATAATATCGCAGTACAACATCCGTACTGTCCGTAGACACTGTGTTACGTGCATGAAACTTGTGTACACATATGCAGCACATATTTACTATGTATCATGCTAATTTGTGTATATATACAATCTATTTACACACTATACACTGTCACACACTATATACATTCACTATCAACACATTCAGAACACCGTGTAGCAGCTGCTTCGTATGGGCCAATAGCAGCTGCCTCGTATGGGCCAATAGCAGCTGCCTCGTATGGGCCAATAGCAGCTGCCTCGTATGGGCCAATAGCAGCTACCTCGTATGGGCCAATAGCAGCTGCCTCGTATGGGCCAATAGCAGCTGCCTCGTATGGGCCAATAGCAGCTGCCTCGTATGGGCCAATAGCAGCTGTCTCGTATGGGCCAATAGCAGCTGCCTCGTATGGGCCAACAGCAGCTGCCTCGTATGGGCCAACAGCAGCTGCCTCGTATGGGCCAACAGCAGCTGCCTCGTATGGGCCAACAGCAGCTGCCTCGTATGGGCCAACAGCAGCTGCCTCGTATGGGCCAACAGCAGCTGCCTCGTATGGGCCAATAGCAGCTGCCTCGTATGGGCCAATAGCAGCTGCCTCGTATGGGCCAATAGGAGCATTTGGCCATGAACACATTCAGAACACCTCGAGTGAGAGCAGCCACACCCAGCCTGTCTCCCTCACTCCAACATCTTACTCGCCAACATTGCTCCTCCCACCATATTGTTATAGTTCTTATTACACATGTTCTATATACCTATCTACATGTTTTATTTACCAGAACTATGCAAGTAAGCCAGTATTGTGTCCAAACAGTACAGTGGCCACCATACACTGCATGAAAAATCACACAGCAGACGACGCTACGATTACGTCACCTCCCTCACCAAAATAGCTCCTCTCAACATTCTTCTGTTGCTGTTCTTACACTATATACACACACTATATATACCCATGTACATATGTGTTGCCCATAGCGAACCACTAAGCTAGTATGGTGAGCAAAACAAGAGTGGCAGCCACACACACAATGAGGCTACCTCAATTCTCGCCCTCCCTCCCTCATCAAAATTCCTCCTTCCACAATACTACGCACAACGCTAATTATAACCACATTCCTGCTATTATCACAATCCTGGTCACTAATTCCTGTAAATGAATAATTGACCACACGTTTATTTTGAAAACGAACCTAAAAAATCATTTGAAGATTCCTAGATGAACGAAATAATGCTGTGGTGCTGTGGCTAGCGCTGTGAACATCGTGAACAGCATTGAATCACTGATATTTGAACATTGTACCCAGTCATTATCACACTCAGGCTCTAATATAACACTATCATAGCTAAATAATACAAGTTATATATATATTTTGACATTATTAGGCGATGCTGTGGTCACATGCTGAACAGCAGTGCTGTGCGCTCATGCTGCGAGCGCCAGCCTTGGTTGCTCACACACTACTGAGGCTCCCACACCCGGGAATGTGGACCACGATTTTTTTTAAAGATGGCGTCTGTTTACAAGAGCCCTGAGGAAGCTGATGTGAACCCCATGTAGCCGCGGGAGTTTTGAATGGAACGTGAAAAATACAAATACCCGGAGGCGCGTTGCGCAAACCAGACGTGAGCCTGCAGGCGCGTTGCGCAGTTTAAGGGTTAAACAGAGGCTACAGTTAAGGAATTGCGCCCAGTAAATCCTCCCCGGCCAGGATACGAACCCATGACATAGCGCTCGCGGAACGCCAGGCGAGTGTCTTACCACTACACCACGGAGACTGTATAAAATATATAGGCACCTAACCCATCATAATGGGACAAATGTGACTGGAAAAAGGTGAATCCTTGTGCACCTGAGAAGGAACCTTGAACCCCCAACCACAGAGCCTATAGAGGAGTCACTGACCCATGCAAAACTCAGGGCAGGGCATCCTTTCTCTGGAGGCCGGCCTGTCAGGGCAGGGGGCAACACCAGCCAGTACCTAGAAAAGGGTAACCCCGGATACATGCAGCTCGAGATATGCAGTTAACCTCAGTTAACTGCTAAGCGAGTTAACCAAGTTAACTGCTAAGCGAGATAACCAAGTTAACTGCTAAGCAAGTTAACCAAGTTAACTGCTAAGCAAGTTAACCAAGTTAACTGCTAAGCAAGTTAACCAAGTTAACTGCTAAGCGAGTTAACGAAGTTAACTGAGTGAGCAGTTAACGAGGTTCACACAACAAGTAAGGCTTGTAGACATGTGCTTGTGAAGCAAATACTTCAAATTGGAACAAAATACAAGGAGATGAGCCCCTGAAGGATAATGTCCAAAAGATGGCCAGCACTTATTTGGAAAGAACTGGGACCCAAAGGGTTAGCAGCAACTGGGAGCGGTAACAACTACTGTTGCACCGTGCAATTGACTGAGGTGGCTCACTGACTGAGCCATGAGCTCCCAGTGCTACTATCTGATGGTGAGCAGTTGGAACTTGAGGGTGAACTATCTGACTACTGGTCAGATCATTTGACAAGTTGTTGTGTCACAACTTTGATGAGCTGCAATGAATTTGTTCAAGTTGTTGTGTGTTTTGTCTCTCCCTACCTTGTTGATGGCTGCCATTGTGGCGAGGGTGATCACAGTTCCCGAGCTCTCTGCGCCTCTGAGGGGAGGGCCAGGTTCTGGCCTCTGATCCCTGGTGGGCTTGTATTGACTCGCTAGAGTCTGGTGTGACTGGATAGGTGAGGAGTTAACCAGAGCACCTAGCAACAGGAAGCAACCTTGGAACCCTCCTAGAAAAGTGCATCATACAAATGGCTCCTGAAGGCATCTCCAGTTGCAATGAATCTGTTGATACAACATATTGGTCCTGTATAGTTTGGCAAATTAAGGTTGCACTTACATAAAATAAGTTGACTTGAAAAGTTCTACAAATTTTAATTTCCTTACCTTGTAAACGCTGAATTCTTTTAAGCCTGAAGACTTCTTTGATGAGTTCTTCGGGATAATGTCCAAGAATTGCCATGGAGAATAGAGTACTTGATAGAAAATGTGGATATATATCTACTTCGCCATTGTAAACAAATTCCATGAGAGATTTATCAACTATTTTGAATAAATCTTCATTACATTGATGGTTTACATGGCTAAATGCCCAAAGTACTCGAGACAGATCTCTCAAGCGTACAGTTTGTGAAGGAGCTCTCAAGTGTTGGATTACTGTGTGTTCTAGTTTAGTGAAGACTTCATGTTGGTATATGCAGCTGTTAGCATAGAGAGCCAGAGTGTGAGAAACAACTTGAGGAGAAAGAGTGTTTATATCTGTGTGCAGTATAAAAGTATTCAAAGCAGACATAACTTTGCTATCTCTGTATTTTGCTGCACGAATGAGTTTCATCATTGCAACAACACCATATGATTCTAGGTCACACAGGGAGAAGCATTCCCTAATTTTAGATTCCAGATGATGTGCAGTTTTATGTATAAATGGTGACGATTCATTCATTTTAAAATTAGATTTAAATATACCAGCTGCTGCTATGCCAGCATCTTGAAAAGGTAAATCTTGATAACAAGTATCCAACTTTCTCACTAGTTTCTCAACAAAATCATTTGAAATTTTTTTTTTCTTACCAATTCCCACATAATGAAGAACTTGCACCAAATGTTGAGGCTGAAGTGAATTTATGTGCTTCTCAAATAATGCCATGAACATGTCATACTGCTTCTTTCTGTAGATATTATTTCCATACAATATTAACAGAATGTCAAACAAATCCAAACACTGTTCAATATCCGCTACCCATGCTCGTTTTTCACATTCCAAGTCAATAAACCCAGCAATTTTCACTAAAAACTTTGATGTGTTAATATTTATTTCTTTTAATGTTTCAGCAAAATGTCTTAGTTCATCTCTGGTCATGTAGGATACACTTTCGCCTATTTTTCTCTTTACTGTCATCATGAGGGATTTCTTGGATATAATGTCTTGCAAAATAGAATGGTCTGATACTGAATATAATGAAAAAAGTTTCAGGACATCATTTGCTTTTGGTAGTAAACTATGGGAAATAACAAGCAACATTTGATGCACAGCATAAGCATCATTGCACACATTGCTGCTACACTGATCAGCACCTGGAATGTCAGCAACTAAACACTTGGTGTTAGTTCGCAAATATTGTTGTACTTTATAGCTCAGTGTGTCTTCCTCAGAAAATGAAGTCTGTTTAGATCTAGTAGCATACTGGCATACATGAGAAAGGTTGTAGGGTAGAGGAATGATACTTGAATTACAAAACTTTTTATGCTTTTGGAGGGCAGTGTGGATTTGCCCAATTCTAAAGGTTTTTGCTATTACTCTTAACATTTCTGCTGCTCTTGTATTTTACATACAACTGATGAATCTTGTATCCAATGTCATTCTGTGAATCTGAAAAGAAAGGTCAAAATGTATATCATATACAGTACACTGAAGTATGTACAACATATTACCACCACCTCATTTCCCATTTTCTGCCTCATTACATAGTCTATTCACTCTCCAGGTCTGCCCATCTTCTTGCTCCTCTTCCCTTCCTTCTACCCTCAAATTCACTTGAATTCACCCTCTTTACCATTCAATCACCATTCATTCATATACTGAACAAGATCAAACCAGTTCATTATACACTCATCAATCTGGCAATTTACTAGCTCAAATTAAGACAAAACAGGAAATAAGTAATTATCGAAAGAAGGCACCAAGCCAGGAAGGCTACATTGCACCATCAAATGTGCAGGATATTCGAAAGGCACTAAATATCACTAAGAATGCTAATACAGAACACAAGCGCATAAGGCAAATGATATCAAAGGAATCTGATTCAACCAAGGATTCTATCGAGGGACAAGTGATCGCACAGCGAGAGACAGTCGGGAAGCAAGACACACACACGTCCTGGAAGTCTGGACATTCAACAAGGATATGCTCGACCGTATAAGGGACAATTCAGCTTGGACAATATGGAGCAGGGCAGCGCTCCATTAAGTGCCCACGAGTTAAACGTGTGTGGCCAATATGTAACCTCACCAGAGCCGTTTCCCACCGCCGGATACGGTGGTAGGAGGAAAGCTATGGGGGACACTCTACCCTTAAGAGCATGCAGTTTGTTACCAGTAACAGAAGAGCAATGACCCTGCTAACATGCAAGGATTGAGGAATGAATAACTGGATAGAAGTCAGAGTAAGTAACACCTTTACAGGAGATGGGACAAGTGCGGACAGCCTCCTTAGCGGTAGCATTTGCACGCTCATCTAAGGAAACACCAATATGGCAGGGAACCCAGCAAAACTCCACTGTCTTAAACCTGCTGAAGATGAGAAACAGCCAACATTGAATTTAGACACTATCACAGGATGGACTGAATTGAATGACTCCAGAGCCACAAGGGCACTGCGAGAGTCAACCATAACAACAAAGGAAGATTGACTGCGAGAAAACAGTTAATGGAGAGCATACAAAATAGCATATAGTTTATTTTTTATTTATTTACTAGCAGTACCCAGCCACACACTGCTGTGGCTCAGCAAGGCATGTGCGTTGCTGAGCCACAGCAACCTTCCCTGTCCCCCAGTCCTCCCCATCAATCCCCCTTCAACCGACTCCTCGGCCACCCAACCATTTCCCTCTCCACCGTCCCCTCATCCTCCCCACCATTCCCCACTCCACCATCCCCTCTTCCTTCCCACCATGCCCCACTCCCCTGTCCCTTTGTCCTCTCCACCATTCTCCATTCCCCCATCCCCTTGTCCCCACCATCCCAAACTTCCCCGTCCCCCTTGTCCTTCCCCACCATTACCTCCTCCCTTGTCCCCTCGTCCTCCCCAACATTTCTCACTCCCTTCCCCTCGTCATCCCCACCATTCCCCACTCCCTCGTTCGATGCCTTCCCAAACGGTCTGATGTTCCCATCAGAAAATTGGGAACATCAAGTGATCATATGTTCCCATCACTGAACTATAAGAAAACAGTTAAAAAAACCAGCGTTGAATGTAATGAAACGCCATTTTCTGGGTGAGTCCCGGAGGCTCCCCGGAGCTATCCCAGGCTGATATGCTAATGTCAGACTTTGGCATCAGTCATGTGTATGGAGTTCTTAGGCCTACCGGGGACCACGGCCAGAACCGGGCCCCCTCAGAGAGGCAAGGGGAGCAATGGCCTATAGAAGCCCCCGTGTAGTTGGAAGCATTCTATGTCTGCCATCGACCGGAACAGGCACCCAGAAAGGTAAGCGCCCCAAAACAAACCCCTATTCTGGTTAAAATTGCTACCTAATACCGAACTAGTGGATAGAACTCCCCAACCGAAAACAAGCAAATTAGTGTGACGTCACACACTGCCGCGCCGCTGTCTGCGCAGCTCCCCCCTCCCCGGGAGGGGGAAGGGGGAGCCCCAGACCCCCCGCGCCGGCTACCCACACCTCAGTTCTTGAGGCTGGATGTCAAAAACGCGAAAAACCGCCGACCGGAGGGAGGGAGGGATGCCGGGGAGCCTCCGGGACTCACCCAGAAAATGGCGTTTCATTACATTCAACGCTGGTTTTCTGGGGGGAGCCCCGTCGGCTCCCCGGAGCTAACTACCCACAGACAGAAAAAGAGGGACTTACCCGGGAGGCGGTCGTCGCTCACCCCTCAACTCGAAGCCGAGACAACTGGCTGCAACCGCAGACCCAAAGCAACACAGGCCCGACGAGGGCCAGGGACATTCACAAGGTAACGAGCAGCCAGGACCCTGTTCGACCGCCAAAATCCCCGCGCCCGAATATCAGACCAAGACATATTCCCAAAGACGGCAGCAAGAGCCGCGAACTTACGAACGTCATGGGCACGGGGATAGACCGCAGGCTGGCTAGACCTAATAACCCTGCGGACGACCTGAGAGACCCGAACCCGCGAACAGGGAAGAAGGGAAACCGGATCAACCCACAGCGCGTCCCCGGACACAGAAGCTGTGGCGCGCAAATAACGGCGAAGCGCCGCAACCGGACACAAAACATGATGCACCCCCGGCCTGACCAACCAAGCATCAACCACCCATGGACCCCTCTGGAACGCAGCAGTCTCATTCTTCGCCAGAAAAGAAGGAGACGGCTGCAAACGAACAAAACTATCACCACGACCAAAAGAGCAGAAACCCCTGCGCCGGAGGAGAGCATGAAGCTCCCCTACCCGACCCCCAGAGGCCAAAGCCAACAAGAAAAGTGCCTTGGAAAAACAATCCTGGACCGAAGGGGCCACAACGAAACGAGGAGATGAAAGGAAAGCGAGCACTCTGTCCAAAGACCAGGACGGCTCAGGCGACGCATGAGCAGGCCGGAGGTGAAACAATGCACGAGACAGCTTGCGAAACGGCGCAGACGTAACATCGATACCGAAAGCAAGCTGAAGCGGCTCGGCCAGCGCCGCACGATACGAAGCGACAGTGTTAGGCATAAGATGACGGTCCTGAAACAACCACGAGAGGAAGGACAAGACCACCCGAACAGACAAGGAGCTAACACGACGAAGACGCAAAAAGAAACGGAAGGACCGCCAGGAAACTTCATACTGCCGCCGAGAAGAAGCCCTCAGGTGGGACACCAACAATGAGGCCACCTGATCACCATAGAGATGATGATAGACTCGAGTCAAAAAAACCATACGCGAAGACTCGAGGAGAAGATCGAACCAGCTACGTGACGTACCGGCCCGATCTGCTGAAAGAGGCGGAGCCGCGGGAAAACCCTCGGGTTCGGACACCGAGCAACCAACGCCTGAAACCAAGGCTGGGCCGGCCACCAAGGGGCCAGAAGGACAACTCTCCCCCGGTAAGTCTCTAAGCGAGTCAGGACCTGGAGCAACAGCCGAACTGGGGGAAAGAGGTACAGGAACCCCCACCTCGACCAGTCGAGCCGAAAGGCATCGACCCCGACGGCCTCGCAATCGGGGAAGGGCGCCGCATAAACGGGAAGACGCCACGACCACGCCGACGCGAAGAGGTCCACCTCGGGGCGCCCGAACGTCTGGCAAAGCCAACGGAAGGACTCGTCGTCGACCGTCCACTCCGTGGAGAGGGGAACGAAGCGAGACAGGGCGTCGGCCAAGACGTTGGACACGCCCCGTACGTGAACCGCCAGGAGAGCCAAACCCCGAGAACTCAGCAGACGAGTCACCCGAAGCGACCAACCCCAAAGAGACAAGGACCGCATCGAACCCCCGCGGTTCAGGCAATGAACCACCAGAGAGCAGTCCGAATGGAGCCGAATCGTCGATCCGCGGGCCACCCGAATCCTCCCCAGAGCAAACCACACTGCCGCGAACTCCCGCACCGTACTGTGAGCTCGACGGAAGGACGGATCCCAACGCCCCTGGCCGGCCTGGTGAGCACTGGTCACAAAACCCCAGCCGAGAGACGACGCATCCGTGTACACATCGAGCGAGGGCTCGGGTAGGCGCCAAGGCACTGAACCCCGAAAAACCCGAAGAGGAAGCCGGTGACGCAGGAACCGACGCAAGTCCCCCGGGGGTCGAACTCTGCGATCGCGAGAGAGGCGGAAGGGGGAACCCCGAAGGAACCAGAACAGCCGTCGAAGCCAAACCCGACCCGGCGGGTAGACCACCATCGCGAAGTTCAGGCTCCCGCACAGCCCCTCGAGCAACCGCCGGGTGACCCGAGGGCCCTCCAGAAACAGACGAAGGCGGGACCGCAGCCGCAGGAGAGACTCTGGAGGGAGAGACAAGGAGGCGGTCCGAGAGTCCCACACGAGACCCAGCCAAGTCCGAACCTGAGAGGGAACCAGATGGGACTTCCTCCAGTTCACCAAGAACCCGAACCCGGCGAGCTGGGAAAGAACCAAATCCCTGGCTAGCAAGCAAGCTGACTGGCTGGGAGCCCAAACCAGCCAGTCGTCGAGGTAGGCCAACACCCGAACACCTAGGAGACGCAAACGAGCCACCACAACCCGTGTAAGGCGTTGAACACGCGAGGTGCCAGGTTCAACCCGAACGGGAGACAACGAAAGCGGTAACTCAGACGCCCCACTACAAAACCGAGCCAGTCCCTGAACCGCGGATGAATCGGGACATGCCAATAAGCGTCCCGGAGGTCCAGGGACACCATCCAAGCACCCGGCTCCAAGAGGAGCCGAACCTGAGACAGCGTAGTCATCCGAAAGGAGGGGCAATGAACCCAGGGGTTCAGACGGGACAAGTCCAGAATGAACCGCAGGTCCGCGCAGTCCCGTTTCGGAACCGGAAACAGACGGGAAACCCATATGAGGGACGACGTCGTTTCGACGACGCCCAAGCGTACCCACTCCAAGACGACTCGACAGAGCGCAGGGGAAGAAGCCTGCCCCGCCAGCCCCGACCCCCCAAAGGGGGGAGGGGCCACCCAACGCCACCGCAGGCCG